TATTTACAAAGACTTTGTTTCCATTTTTTCATTTTCTCATATTAATTCCATTCCCTTCTTTCCTTTCCCCTACCCCTTCCACTCCCCCTTCCCCTTTGCCCCTTTTCTTCCTATTTCACATTATCTATTATACCTTTTCGTCCTTATTTACACTTTCAATTTCTCACACTAGAGAAACTATTCAGTATTTACACATGTGTGTCGTATTTATTTCACTTGAGTATCGCCTCAATGTGCATCCATTTAGCTATAAATGTCTCTAGTTTTTCATTTTTTATGGCTGAGTAGTACTCCTTAAAACTGACTTTTAGAGGGTTCATGCTAATAAGAATATTGCTGGGGATTTAGCTCATTGGTGCCGCCACTTGCCTTGCAAGTGCAAGGTCCCGAGTTTAATTTCTGATACCAAAAAAAAAAAAGAAAGAAAAAAAAGAATATTGCTATAAAGCCAAAAGCTATTCTGTGTAAGTCCCCGCAGTCTCCATAAACCTAGTACAGACCCACCAGCACCCATTCCCTAGTCTCTTTCTTCCTGCTCTCCTGCTTCCTCAACCACCCCGAACTATTTCCAAAGAAAGAAAGTGAACTGAGCCTTTCAGTCCCAGGAATCTTTGGTGGCTTCTCATCCCTGTTTGAGAGATGAAAGTCTCTAGTTTTAGTAAAGCCACCTGGAAGACCTCAGATACCCAGTTCTTTAGGCCACTGTACCCTTAGAATCTTGCAAGGTCAGAGAGAAGCAGAGGTAAATCATAAACTGGAAAGTAACTCCCGCCAGTAGTGTGTAACCTGCTGTCTGGAGCCTCCTAGGTAGTTGAGAATCCGCTCCAATGCTCTGAGAAAAGGTTCCCAATCAACTTCAATTCCTAGAGAAAGAGGAGAAGGCAGGAATGTACCATGGCCTCATAGACTATAACGGCACACATAGATGCTGAAAGATAAACATAAGATCAGTTCTGTGGAACCTTATGATTTTAAATTTGGATGTTCAGCTAACCAAGAGGAGATGAGTGGACAAACCCAGGCAAAACAGGCCAGCTGGGGACTATGCAGTTATCTAAGAGGCAGAATCAGAGGCAACTTGAGAACCAGCAAAAACTGAACCACAGGAGCCAAGCTTGTTCCTCAGAGCAGGAAGTGGCCAGGCTGCCCCAGCTGACTCCTGCTCTCTGGGCACAGACAGCCTGCAGCTTCAGGGCTTTCCTCCAGCTCTCCAGTGGCCCTTGCATGTTAGGAGTTGCTGGCTCAAGGATTTTTAGGTCTCTGAGTTTTACTGCATTGTCTGGGAAGAGGTGTTTAGGGAAAACAATATTCCTCACTGGGACCACAGGAGCCAGAGCAGCAGTGATGGGGAGCCAAGTGCAGAGAATTGTTCCATGAAGTTTCCTGCCCCTGCCCCCATGAGAGAAAGTAATTTGGTTCTTTCTCACTGGGGGTGGGGGTGTCCACACTCCAGTATTTTGTGTGGTTGTTAGGATACACTGTCCCTTCAAGCTGCCGATGGAATGGAGGGACATCACTTGTAAAATCCTTCACTAGGGAAAAAAATGGATTTTCTGATTTGTAATTATTTCAAATGTTAACTTTCTATTTTGAAGTAATTATAAATTCACAGGAATCAATAAGGACAATGATAGTACAGAGAAGACTCAGGTACCTTTTGCCCCATTACTGCAGTGGTTACAGCTTACATAACTTTATTATGTCAAAACCAGGAAGCTGACATTACACTGTGTGTGCGCGTGTGTGTGTGTGTGTGTGTGCGCGCCTGCATGTACATATTCCATGCCATTTATTATGTGTGGATTCACATCACCACCTCTGCAGTCAAGGCACAGAGCCACTTTATGTGTATAACAGTCTTCCGCATGCTAACCTCTTTATGTTCACACCAATCCCCTCTCACTATTGGTACCCAGTCCAATCCCCTGGCAACTACTAGTCTGTTCTTCACTTCCATTTACATTATAAAATAGATTATACAGGGTGGCTCATGCCTATAATTCTAGCACTATGGGAGACTGAGGCAGGAAGATCTCAAGTTCAAGTCCAATCTGGACAATTTAGTGACTTAGGAGATCCTATCTCAAAATAAAAAAGAAAGAGCTGGTGGGGATGTAGCTTGGTGTGAAGGCCCTGAGTGCAATTCCCAGTACAACCAAAAAAAAAAAGGATGCAGCATGTGACCTTTAGAGAGTGGCATTTTCACTCAGCATAATGCCTGAGATTCACCCAAGTTGTTGTGAGTATCAACGTGGATTATCTGTGGTAGATGCGCCACATTTGTTTAATGATTCACCTACTGACAATGTTTTGGTTGTTTCCAGTTTGAGGCTATTATAGCAAAGCTGCCGTGATCCTCTTGTAGAAGACTTCTGTGGACATTCCACCAAATTCCACTGGGTTGAGTTTAATTTTAATTCCACTGGGATAGATGTCCAACAGTGCAATTACTAGGCTGGTTGGTATTATAAGTATAATTGCTCAGGAAACTGCCAAAGTATTTTCTAGAAGGACTGTACCATTTTATATTCCCATTAGAGCAATCCAGTTTCTCCACATCCTCATAAGTAGTAGGTTTTGGCAGTATTTATTGTTTTTGCTCTTCTCCTAGGTCTGTAGCAAAAGTTCATTGTGGCCTTATTTGTACTTTTCTAATGGCTGGTCATGTGCCTGATTTTCCATGCATATGATCTCATTATGTCTTTGGTCTATGTTCTAATTTAATTGTTTGGGGTTTTTAATTTTTTATGTTACATTTTGAGATTTAAATTCTAGATATGAGCCCTCTGTTAGATCTGTGGTTTGCAAGTATTTTCTTCTGGTCTCCAGCTTGTCTGTTCACTTTCTTAAAAGGATTTTTTTTTTCCTGCCAAACATTTCCATTTTGATGAGGTTTGGCTTCTCGATATTTTTCTCTGGTGGATCACACCTTAATGTTATATCTAATCACTTGTCATCACCCTTAGGTTTTAAAGATGGTCTCCTATGTTCTCTTGTAAAAGTTTTACAGTTTTATAGCCTATATTTAGATCCATGGTCTACTTTGAGTTAGTTTTTACTTAGATATCAGATGTACTGAGGTAAAACTGCTCCAGCATTGTTGGTTTATGAGATGATCATTCTTTCATTGAACTGTTCTTATCATACAAAAAAGGACTGCAGAACAATATTCCTCATAACTGTAGATACAAGTATTCTTAAAATATTAGCAAATAAAACTCAGAGATATATAAAGATAACTATACACCATGACCAAGTTGAGTTTATTGCAGGAAGGGAAAGGTGGTTTAATATTCAAAAAAATCAAGAAGTGTAATCCAAAAACATGTCCAAACCTGTGGAGTCCATCTGTGGGGGCCCTCTGGGTTCTTTATTCTGTTCCAGTGATCTATGTGTCTCTTCTCCTGCCAATATCACAGAGTTTTGATTAATGTAGCAATATGTTTTGTGCTGAAATCTGGTAAAATGATTTCTCTCATTTTACTCATTTTCTGAATTATTTTAGACTACTCTGGTTCCTTTGTTTTCTAGTATAGATTTCAGAATAATCTTGTCTATGTCTACAGAAGAATCTTGCTGACATTTTTATAACTTTTAACGTTTGTATCAGTTTGAAAGAATCCCTTTATTATGTTGAGTCCTCCAATCTATGAACATGTTATACTTCTCTGTCTATTCAGATCTTTGATTTTTCTGTTCAGCACTTTGTACTCTTCAGCATACATGTTCTATGCAAATTTTTGTTAGATTTTTATGTGGTTATATTTTGAATTTCAGCTTCCATGTATTTATTGCTAGTATATAAAAATACAATTGTTTTTTATATGTTGATCTTGTATCCTGAAACCTTATTTATTAGTTCTAGGAGTACTTTGCTTTATCTTCTTTTTTGTGAATACCTTGGCATTTTCTTTATAGACTATCACCATCATATCATCTATAAACAGGAGCCATTTTATTTCTTTTCTGATTTATATGTCTTTCATTTCCTTTTCTTTCCTTATTTTGCTACCAGAATTTTCAGTACTGTGGCAGAGCGCATATTTTTCTTTTTCTAGATCTTACAGGAACACAGTCAGTCTTTCACCATGAAGTACAATGTCAGCTGTTGGATTTTTGCCGTTGTTTTGCAGGATGTTGAAATTTTTCAAGCGCTTTTTCTGCATAAACTGATATGATTCTGTGATTTTCTTTTTTAGCCTATTAATGCTGTTATATTGCTATAATGTTGTTATATTGAGTTTTTAAAATATATTAGATCAGTTTTCCACTCCTAGAGTATACCCAACTTGGTCATATGGTATGTAATTATTTTTATATATTGTTGGATTCTATTTGCTAAAATTTTCTTAAGAATATTTATGTCTATATTTATGAGGGATATTGATCTGTAGTCTGTGTGTGTGTGTATGTTGTACTTCTGTGGTTTTGATATATTCCTAGCATTCTAGGAGGCTGAGGCAGAAGAATGGCAAGTTCAAGCCCAGCTTGGGGAACTTGGTGACATAGGGAGACCTTGTCTATAAATAAAAAAGGGCTGGGGATATAGCTTATGGGGAACGCTCTGAGTTTAATTCTCAGTACAGAAAGGGGAAAAAGAAAGCACTAGGAAATGTACTCTTTTGTTTTATGGAACAGATTTATAGAATTGAGGGTAATTATTTATATATTTGGTACTATTTTGTGAATACTCTAGGCCTTGAGATTTCTTTTCTACTTATCTTTTTAAAAGTTTATAAATTATTAATTCTATTTCCCTAATAGGTATAAGGCATTTCCACTTTGCTTATATCATTTTAGGAGAAAAGTGGTAGTTTTTGCTTTTCATTGAATTGGTCCATTTCACCTAAATTGTCAAATGTATGTGAACAGGGTTGTTCTCAGCCTTTTAGTCTCCTTTCCATATCTGCAGGGTGTGTAATGATATAGTCTCATTCTTTTCATTCCTGATAGTAGTGATCCTTATCCCCCATTTTGCTAAAATTTTGTCAATTTATCAGTCTTTTTTTTTTTTTTTTGGTACCAGGGATCGAACTTGGGTCCTTGTGCTTGTAAGGCAGGTGGCAGAACCACTGAGCTAAACCTCCCATCCAATTCATCAGTCTTTTAAAAGACATTTTGCTCCATTGTTTTTTTCTTGTTTTAATTTAACGAATTTCTGTTCTTTTTATTGTGTTGTTCTTTTTGCTTGCTTTATTTTGCTCTCTTCTCTTTCTAGTGTCTTGAAGTAAGGCCTTAGATTATTAATTTGAGGCTTCCTCATTAACCTCAGCTTAAAAAAAATTTTTTTAAATCAAGAAGTAAGATTCCTTCACTTCACTAATATGGAAAGAAAAACTCTTCAAGTATGAAGTTCAGGACTTTCCTGGTGGTGTGAATACTCAAATCTTTAACACTCCACCCAGGAGAGGGCAACACTCTCCGGAGGAGGACACTGATCCATCGAGGTTAAAACCATTTCTGTGTTAATCAAGAGTGCTAAGAAGGCAAGACCACACTGTTATCCACAGGGCAGGATGCCAGCCTGCACCAGTGATCCTTGGGAACAGGGGCCATCCAAAAGAGAGCCGGTGGGTTTCATTCAGTTTTCCCCAAATCAGCCCAAGATGACCCAAGCTGAGAGAATGGCAAAGTCTGTGATGAGATGAGCATCTGTGATGAGCCCCTCCTCCTCCCCTCCTGGCCCCCTCACCTCTCTGCAGGTGCCCCAGTCATCCATCATGTGTGCAGGAAGGTCAGCCACTGTCTTCCAAAGTAGTTTCAACCTCCAAAGCCTTCAAAGAGAACAACAAACTCCAATGGAACAAAGCATCCTGGCAGATTTTTAGGTAGCCGGGGTCAAATCACAGGTCTTCCTCCAAAGAATGGTACACCATTGGCATTGCTCTCCTTGGGGTCATTCTGAGGAGGAAGGCATGGTTTTAAAGCTCCTGGAACAGTCCTGGGGCGGTGAGCACCAGGTCACCATTTGCTGGTAAATGCTCTTATCCCCGACCAAAACTTCAGCATTCTTCTTGCCATCAATAGCCTTTGATGTTGGAAGAATGAGGAAATAGGCAATTGGTATTTACATCCATCTCCACCCTCTCTCCCACCCCCACCACAAAACAAATCATTTGGTAGCCAAGAAAAAGCAAAGTGACTCAGAAACGCTGCAGACACGTGTTCAAAGACCCGGCATGCACAACAGGACGACACTAAAACCGTCTAAGGAGAGCGCAGACAGGTTCGCGCTCAACCACTCTCTCCGCTGCCTGCTGTTGAGCGAATGAATTTACCTTTCTCTAGCGCTACACAGTATACCTTGCCTGTGAACCGTCTGTAAATGGACAGCGCTGCTCCAATAAGCCAGCTCCCACCACAATTTCCCAGGTGTGGGGTCAACAAAGACGAGTTAATCTTTTTGATTAATTTGATATAAAGCATGGCGCGTTTGTGGGATTCAGATGCAAGCCCTCCGGGCGACTTTCCTTTGTCGAAACAGTAGAGTGAATCAGGATCGCCTCCACCCAGCCCTGTGTCCTCCAGCCTTTCTGCCCTTGCTTTCCTAAGCAGGATCTCACAGGAAACACAGGCACATGCGCAAACCCCTGTCTCCGCCTCCGCCTCCTTCTCAGCTGAGTACTTTCTTTCTGTCTCTCCCACTGCATCAGAAAACCCCAACCCCCGTCCACTGTAAAGCAGACTCCTAGTCCCAGTCCTAAAGCGACGCTGCATTTAGCAAACCCTAACTGACCTGTGTCGTCCTAGGATGCAGTACAGATAACAATGCCCAATTTGCTGTGACGCAGCATTCCTGAGTAAGTGTCCCCAGCTAGCTGCTTTCGACAATAATTTAGACATTTGCTCTACTCCTTTAATGTGGTGGCTAAACAGCCTGTTCCCCAGCGGTATCGCTGGGAAGGGGCTGGGTGCAGGGCAGGGAGAAGAGGCTGTATCATGGTCACCTCGGTGGCTGTGTGGGCTCCGAGTTCCCCTTTCTAGGCCTGCTTTTCTCGTTTGCAAGCCACAGCAGAGCCTTTCTGCTTCACCAAAGAGCCAGCGAAGAGCCAGTGCTGTGCCCCACAACGTAGCAGGCGCAGGTGGTGTTCCTCTTTTGTCCCCAACAAATCTGGGCCTTTCCCCCAGTGAGTTTCTATGTTTAAACAACAGCTACCATATTCTGTCTTTGGAGAGATCTAAGGGATTCTATCCAGAAAATCATTGTCTGTACCAAAGTCTTGAAGAGCTTCCCCCATGCTCAATGTCATTGGCCCACAGGGAAATGCAAACTGAAACTACAAGGAGTTATCATTACATCCAGTCAAGATGGAATTGCAGTCTGATAGACAAGGATATGGAGAAAAAAGGAACTCTTGAACAGTGTGGGTGGGAATGTGAATTAGTACACCCACTATGGAGAACAGAACTGAGTTTCTTCAAAAAACTAAAAATAGATGTAGCATATGATTCAGCTTTCCCACTTCCAGGTGTATATCCAAAGAAAATGGTTGACATATCAAAGAGATACTTGCATGACTTTGTTTATTGAAGCACTATTCCAAACAGCTAAGACATGCAGTTAGCCTAAAGTGCCCATCGACAGATGAATGGACAAAGAAAACGTAGCATATGAACACAATGAGGTATCATTCAGCCATAAAAAAAGAATGAAATCCTGTTATCTGCAGCAAAATGGACAGAACTGGAGGACATGTTCAGTGAAAATAAAGCAAACATAGACAAATACTGTGTGTTCTGTCTCATGTGGAAACTAGGAATCAACCTGACTCTGAAAGAAGTGATCACTAAGGATAGGGAAGTGTGATTGAGTTTATCAGTGCATCCCGTGTGTATGCACGGGAATACTGCACTGAACCCTACGAATACGTACAATTACTACATAGTAATGAAGTAATAATAAGGAGCTAACCCCACTCATTTGTTCTATTTATTGAGGCTTTCTTTTTGGAGGTTATCTTTACAAGGAATTGTCACAATTCAGATGATAGAGTGATAGTGTATGTGCTGAAGATAGACTGTTGTGATATTTTGTTTTCAATTTAAACTTGCTGCCCAATGTGAGTTCTTTAGAGGGGATTTTGTTTCACTTTCAGATGGTGGGAAACTATTTCACCTGCTACACAAAGGTTGAAAAAGCAAAGAGTGAGCACTTGCCCAAGGGGTGTTTAATTCCTATTCTGTCCTCAGGGGAAGAGGGGTGAAGATTTCACCTAGATAAGAGCTGACCTTGGCTGAATTTACCTTTTGGTATTAAAACTCTTAATATATTCTTCACCACAAGAACACAGAGCCCCCAGAAGTTCATGTACCTGGTGTGGATATGCACTGCCCGCCCAGGTGTGCTGCTGCACTTGTATGTAGCTGTAACCCCAATGTTTTCTGGGCAACACGTAGCCAGGAAAGGAAGGAGGAGAGGGCATCAAGGCAAGCAGAAAGCAGCTGGAGACCACAGAGGCCTCGCCTCTCCCTCTCCTGTGGCTGGTAGAAGTGGGAAAAGACCATGAGAAAGGTGAGGCAGGGCGACAGTCCAGGCTGTGGCTGCTCACCTTTGAAGGTGGCTTTACTTTGACATAGCCATCCACGTGACCCCTCCACCTGTGGCTGCCCAGCACTCAGCCTGGCCAGGCTCCCTTTCTGGTCTGTGACCTCCAGGAACCTGGATGGGACCCTGCAGCAGGGGAAGGGTCCACATAGGGTAGCTCACTTGTCTCTGCACCACTCTGTCTTCAGTGCCTACAAAGCCACTGAGCAGAGCTTCTGGGTGGAGCAGACCTATTGGGCAAAAGAGCAGAAATAAGCACAGCACAGTCAAGAACAGAGAAAGCTTAACTGTGAAGATTCTGCAATACAAACCTTCAAATAAAAACAGCTCTGCCCTCCACACTACTGTGTGTATTTGTCATTGTAGGGTAACCTCTTTTCTAATTCAGTCTTTCATTAAATAATGATAATAGGTACACATCATAAAACAAGGAATAAAATGAAAAGCACCCTACATACGCCACCTAACTATACTCCCCCAAATGTAATCTTCCAGAAATCTGTCTCCCAGGCCTATAGAATAATTTTTAGCAACTTCAATGAAATACAATTCATACTAAACAGTTCACCATTTAAAATTTACTACTCAGTGGTGTCAGATGTATACACAGAGTGGTGCAGCCATTTTATATAATTTATATAAGGAACTCGATCATTTGCGGATTTGAGGATCAGAAGGAGGCCCTGGAACTAAGTCTGCTGTGGGTATCGGGGGACAGCTATAAATGCAATCATCCTCTGTGATAGTTTTACACACATGTTAACACCAATAGCAGTTATACCTTACTTGTGTATGTCACTTGAAAAAAATGTCATAGTGATCTTACCATGTGAGCACATACATGTCTATCTCATGGATTTTAATTCCTACCGAAATACTCAGATTCTGCTTGACACATGGTCAGATTATTCCCTCTCCTGGCCTCATGGGCAGTGTTGTAACTAAATGTGTTTTACTGAACTTTTTCAGATATAAACACGGTAAATTCTCACAGTGAAACAGCCAGTGGAAGAGCATGTACAGTTACAGCTGTGATATCCCAGAATCACCACACCGAAGGTCAACACATATTGAAGTCTCCTCAGGAACCAAAGACACAAAGGCAGAGAAGACCAAGAGAATAGGTGGAAAGGAAGAGTCACCGAAGCACAGAAAAATTAATGTAGGGAAGGATTTTTGGGTGCTGTGCCCTGCCAATCCCCTTTAGGGTTTGGGGTGACTAACCCAACAGAGCTGCTGCAGCATGGTAGAGAGCAAGACAGTGGAGATGAGGGTTGGGGTGGGGAGCAGACAACCAGAAGAGGGAAGGCTGCTCACTGCCTTCCTGGGACATGGCCTCCTCCTTTAGCGGAACTCCTCACCTTTGGCAGCAAACCCTGGGACCAGGGGGCACCCTCTGGGTCTTCCTGGTCAGGGTCTGGTCCTTGTTCCCAACAACAAATGTGTCATTCCAACACCAACCAATTCTTCAATTACCCAGCACCAAGTGGATGTCCTGTCATTCAATCCTATTCTGACTCTAACTACCCAGAGTTAGCAAGGATCCCATAGGTCAATGGTCAGACCTATGAAATTGCCCCCACTACAGGCAATGGTTCACACTTCTGCACAGGCAGCCACTGATGCACAGCCATGAATCCACAGCATCCCCCACCCTGGAAGTTCAATAATTTGCCTGAATAATCACAGAACTCAAGAGAACTTTTTGGGGGGGGTCCCAGGGATCAAACTCAGGACCTTGTGCTTGGGAGGCAGGCGCCAGAACCACTGAGCTAAATCCCCGGCCCCTCAAGAGAACTTTTATGTATTAGAATAATGGTTTATGACAAAGGATGCAGCTCTGGACTGGCCCAGTGAAGAGAAGCACATGGCAACGTGTAGGAGAAGAGTGCAGGCCTCCCACGGTGCCCCAGGCACCTCTGCACACTCACCCACCCACGGCTCTGCAAACTCGGAGGCAGGGGGTTTTCCTGGGGTGTCGTCATACAGTCATGAGTGATGACATCACTGGAGATTGGTCTCTTCCCTCTCCGGGACGTGGGGTGCGGCTGAAAGTTCCAACTCTCTAGTCCCACAGTTTGTTTCTCTGGTCACCAGACTCTATTCTAAAGCTCCCAGGGCCACAGACACCTGTCATCTCCCTGGCACACAGGAGAGCACATCCCAAGGCTTAGGAGCCCCAGCCCAGGAATCCCAAAGGCCAACTATTCATTTCTTATGAGACCTCAGAGTCCTAGTGTACATCTTTCTGGAGGAATTAGACACATTCCCACCCTCTGCAGCACACACACAGACACACACCACACACACACACACCTACAATACACTCCAGACACATCACATATCACACACATTACACAATATCACACATACACATCACACACATACATACATACACACACGTCACAAACCACATACATCATGCATATACACACACCACACATATAAATCACACACATACCACATCGTACACACCTGACACATACACATATGACACAATGCCACACAAATACAAACTACATATACCATACATCCACACATATACCACACACACAAACACATACCATTCACTAGTTATGTTTCTGAATAGTGGAAACATCCTTCTAATATATGAAATGTGAGAAGAACAATTCCTAGAACTTCCAATGGTCCCTGGCTCACGTTGAGCACAGAGACAGGGGACAGAGTAGGCATGTGATGTAGGGACAAAGCGATGTGGTCTCTCAGCTCTGGGACATATCTCTGTCATCAATGATACTCTTCCTTGAGGGATTATGGCTGTGAGTCAAAGGTTTCCTTTGGGTCCAGACAAAGTCATCACACAAAAAGCCAAGTTTCACTCTGCAAATCTACATGTAGATCAATATTTTAAAGCTATTTCTCTCAAGTCTTATGTAGAGCAAGCCACACAGAGGAAGTAGCTTGTGGTTGTCTGTCGAGTTGCAAACAGAATACCACAAGGCCCGAGTCCTCAACACTGCCCAGGGCTCGTTGGCATCACAGCCACCCTGTGAAAAGTCCTGCTCTTTCCCTGGGGCCACCGTATCATCCATCAGTGTTCCCCAGAGAAGCAGAAGCAAGGAAATATATATTTACAAACACATACACAGAGTTACTACAGGAGATACACAATTATGGAAATTGACAAACCTAAAATTTGTAGAGCAGGTGCCTCAGCTCTGTGCTACTGTAAAAGCCATCTATGCTACTGTAGAAGCAGGATAAACAGCAGGAAAGTCCTCCTAACTGGTAGAGAGAGATCTGGCCTCTTCCCTTCCAAAAAGATCTATCCAGGCCTTCACCTGATAGAGTGAGGTCCACGCACTCTGCTGGGAAGGACCATGAGCTGCACTCAGTCTATGGATTCAAATGTTTGTCTCATCTAAAAGCACAGACATGTTCAGTAGAATGCTGGACAAACGTCTGGGCAGCTATGATGCAGGCCGGCTGACAAAATCGACCATCACACCCACCAGATCTACTTGGAGAAGAGAGAAAGCCTTTATCCCTTCCCATTTGGCACCGGGCGATGAACAGCTCATCTGCACCTTCACCTGCTGATGCACCTTGCCTCAGTTATGTCACTGAGGGCTGCAGAAAGGGCACTTCCCAATTCCTGTTCCTCCTGTGCTCCTGAACTGGCACACCTGTGCTAAGTTGCTTTTCCTCATGAACCAGGGATTGAGGAGGGGAGATTTTATTCAACAGAATGGTAGGGAGGGCCAATTCTCCCTAGAGAAGCATTGAGGGAAGTCTGTCTCTCCAGGCTTTAGAGAGGCACCCAGCTGTCTTAGACACAGGACAGCAGACAGGGCTGGGGCACCAGGCCAGTGGGAGGCCTGTGTGTGGGAGAGCTGTTGTGTGGCCAGGATCTTTGGGGAAAAGAAACCTCATCGAAAGAGGAATCACCCTCAAGGACACCTCTGTGATGCCATAGGTCCAATTCCCGTGTCTCTTAGGGAAACCTTCAGGGAAGATGAAGAGCCCCAGTAGTTCTCAGAATTTCCCAAGTCAGTTTGTGGGCATTGCCAGGAGCCATGAACCCCCTGTTGCATTAGGTCAAAGGCTTTCTCTGAGAGTGGAACTGAGGGTGCCGGCCAAACAAACTTCAGCCCCAACTCCAGCAGAGCATTGCAGAGTGGGCAGCAGCTAACCGGATACACTGGATGAACCACTTGACAGTGTTGGTAAGGTGTGGAACAGTGGCCGGGAGCGGACTGTCACCCTCGTCATGGGAAGTGGACAAAGCCGCAGGTCCCTGCTGTCCTTTTCTTGACTTGATGCTCTAGGAGTAGGACAGTCTCTTCTTCTTCTGGTTCTCTTTTTCTACCTCCTCTTTCTTTTTCTTTCTTTTTGTCCCTTCATCCACAAAGCTGCTAGGATCGTTTCTGTGTTCAGGCAGTCAAGGCCTGCGCTTTTCTAATTGACAGTGTGGCAGTTCTCTCCCCGGGATTCCTCTGTTCGAAGACTTCGCATGGATTACCCCATTATCCACACAAGGGAACGAATCCTGCACAGAGCCGGGGCTGGAGCGCGAGGTAAGGGGCTCAGGTGGCTGTGGAGGTGGGCGCAGGACACGGGGCGGGGCCGGGGCCGGCACTGGGTGGGGAGATGGGCGGGGTGAGGAGTTGGGGCAGGGCGGGCCTTTTCGGGCCCCGCCCCGGCGGCCGCAGCAAAAGTTTGCTCTCCGACTTCGCGGGACAGAGGCTGAGCGAGCCGGTTGAGGGACAGGCGATGAAGACCCGGTGAGAGCGACGGGCCAGCCGAGCCCGAAGAAGACCCCAGGCCACAGCGACATTCTGAGACCGTGGTCCGAGCGGAGGCAGAAGCGCCCTGTACAGCCGCGTGTCCCTCAGGATGCCGGCGACCCGATATCCTCTGCGGACGGAGGTGAGCCACGGGGTTTGCGCCTGGGCGCACAGCTCCGAGCCTGGGCCGGGGACTGCGGGGCTGTGGGACCCACTTTTCTGACAGAAGTCCAACGGATCCCCGGGGCGCCGGCCCACATCAGCACCCCTCCCCCAGGCAGTCCTCCGCGAGGCCCAAAGACCCGGCTCCTTTTCAGCTGCTGCTGGGGAGTTGAAAACCAGGGACGTCTGAAAACTCTGAATGAACGAAGGTGGCTCTCCGTGGAGCAGCTCCACCAGTCGTTTCCCTTGGACAGTTAGAAAGTTAGGTGCCCTCCCAGGAAGAGGGCCAGGGAGCGGAGGGGAGGGGAGAGCTGTGGTCTTTTGCCTGGAAAAATCATTCTTCTGGTTTCATTACCCACAAAATTCCATTTTTCCTAACATGTCTCCAACAAGGCAATCAGAACGGTCAGTACGGGTGCTGGAAGACAAATGCCCTCACAATGCAGTAAGTGAGGGTCCTGTGGCAAATTGGGTCTCATAACTGAGACACTGCCTAGGAGGGGCCTTGGACCTCTTAACTGCCCAGTCTCCAAGTGGTGTCTCTCTCTGTCTCCCTTTCTGGCTTTGGGCACTCCCAATGCCTATTTCTTTGTGGTATTTTATATTTAGATATAAGAAAGAGGTTTCTTGTTGGAGTTTTAAAGAGACACAGTTTGTTCTGAACATTACACTAAGAAGGGTAGCAACTTGGACAGAGGGCTCTTCTGTTTTGTACCTGGTCCCCTCCTGCACCCAGAGCTCTGAGATCTCCAGAATTGTGTCTAAAATCTGGACATTAGAAGTCTTGGATGCTGTACATAGTCACATATGCATAATTTATCTTTTCAATATTCTTTTCCTCATAGATGAAAATCTTGCAAGCACAATAAGAAAGCTAATTCCTAGAGAGTGCAGGGAAGGGTTGTGTCCTACAGGTAAATGAGTAACAAGGATGGCTGTGGCCAGGGCCGATTTTGTGCAGGTGGTGGTGGTGGTGGGTAGGTGTGGCATGCTGGAGGAACCATGGAAGTGTCCAAACCTGCACAGTTTCTTAATTGATGTAGAGCTCAATGCTACGATGCATAATTTTGTTGCCACAGAAGAATCCCACATTGTTCTTTCAATCATCAAACAAGCAAACATTCACATTGGGTCTAAGTCATTCCTAATCCCTGACACCAGAGATCTAACCTGCAAAGCCAGCCCTTAGGAGCCTTCCCTTAAGACACAGAAGGAATGAAGTCACAACCAGTTTCCATCTTGAAATGCACTTTTCCTCCTCACACTTGTGAATTTTTTAAAGCACAGGAGTCTGCTAATTTTCTGCCACATTTGGATAATAGAAATTCCTATTTCCTGTAGATTAAACTTTACATATTGGCCTAATGACCTAATTTCTCACAATTCAGGGATTTTCCTCTTTCTGTTTTTCCCAAACATCAGAAAAATTCAACAGAAATTATGACATCAGAAAAATTCAACAGAAATCATGATGTTTATTTCCTTGTCTCTTCCATCTTCCTCAATACCTACACTGTATGTATATATTTTTATTACAAAAACAGTGAGAATTTCAGCTTCTCATACTCTGGAGAAACTCAGGGTTGCCCTGAGGTAGAATCCCTTTTTCCTGCCAGAGTGTGGGGCCGCTCTTAAGCAAGCTATTTCATTTAGCTGGGAGGGTGCTGTGGGTTGTCCAGACCTGTGCCTTCACACCTGGCCTCACAATTCCTTCCTTGTCAATGTTAGAGCTATTTTATTTTATTCCTTTTCCCTGCATTTTCTACTGAGTGAATTGCATTAAGAGATTTTCCATATGCTTTTGGTTATATGATTTTTTTTTAAAGCCAATATACTGAGTGGAATTCTGCCTAGTTTCAGTTAGTACTGCACTTCAGTTGTTTTTATTACATATACTCACCATAAACAGAAAGTCTCTCTCTTTTCTCCTTCCTCCTTTGCTCTCTTTCATTGTGTTTTATTCTTTGCATTCTGTTTTCTGAGGAATCAAAGCTGTGTCAATTCAACAAGGGAATAAGCCAGGTAGGTCAAATCAGTGAAAAAGATTGTTCAGCAGAGAGTGGGCATCCAGGGGCAGTCTTCCCCATCAACAAGCTGTGCTGGTATCCATGGGCCCATGGGCCCAGGCAGCTCCAGGCAGGGTACTCAGTTGACCATGCTCCTTGGCCTGGGAGGTTCTGATCCATTTCCCTGGCTTCAGAGTTTCCCAGATCTTTCAGTAAAGCCCCCAGGATGGCATTTCTACATTTTGCTAGCAAAGTAGCTACAAGCAATTCAGCTGCAAAGCATATTGGAGCTTTTATGACCTCCTCATTAACGGACAACTGGCAAGGTGACAGTGTCCCAAAGAAATTGTCACTACTGGGCTGTAGGCTACCCTGGAACCAGACAACACAGACATCCAGCCTAACCAGGCACTGCACAATGGACAGAGAGCCCCTTCCCCTGCCTCAGTTTCCCCTTGTGTATATTCAGAAGGTGCAAGTTACTGTGGCGACTCATGTGACCACAGATCACCTTCTTGGGCAGGGCCCTGCTTATTTGCATCTGCCTTTAGCTGTTCCTTGGAGCCTGCACACTCCTGCATTTGTTTTGTAGAAATTTTGGTAGTACATCAATCTTGTGCCCTTACTGAGAACAAGCAGGGTAGATAGAGTCATACTGATTGGAAAGCAAAGTGGGCAATACAAACTCACACCAAATTCAGTTTCCTTCCCGTGGACAAGTCTGGAAGCCCAGGAGGCTGTTCACAGGGCAGATGCTTGGGGACAGTACCTGGGGCACAACCTCCATGTCTGGGGTTCCCTGGACTGCGCCTGGCTCTGCCATGGCATTGAGCCTTGTCTGCTAAAGTACTCACGAAAAGGTCACCAACAAGCTGGCAAGCAAATGCATTTCCATCCTCTGAAGAAGAAAAGTGAAGAGGATGCCAGCCCATCCCTGGTGTGCATGTAAAGCTTGCTATTTCATTCAGGGCTCCATTCACGGGCTGAGATCAAAGTGCCAGGCGCATGAGGCTCTGTGTGTGAAGCCCACATTTTCTGGGAACTATCTCTGAAGGCAGCGTGAGGTCACTCAAGGAAACCAGAACAAGGGAAAAGACTCATTAGCAAAGGAATTTTGCTGGAGCCTTAAAATGAGCCAGCTCATTACTTCCTTTCTAAGTTCTTGTAAGTGAAAAAAGGAAAGAGAACAGGAAAAGCTGTTGCTTTCCAAGAAAGTTTGGTTGTTGGAAAATATTTGGTCTTTTAATTCAGTGTGGAGGATGAAGAGGCATGGGAGGACATACCTTTCATAAATACAGCATCTTGTTTCCGACCAAAGGAAAGTTCTTACTATGCCTTTCTTTTGGGGGGTGGGGGAAGCTAGATTGTAGAAATATATTTTTCCTTTCCTTTTTATAGTTTGTTTATTTTTCAAGGCAACATGTGTGGAGAAAGTGAGTCTCTAGCATAGAAAGCACATCTGGAATCCATCAGGCCCCCTCTCCCCGGTTCCCCTCCCCTTGTCAGCAGTCCTTTCAGAGTGGGGGAAGGTAGGCACCCTCCACAGCCAGGGCCTAACTTAGGCTCATCCACCATAGAGTCCTTCTTTTGGCAAAAAGAAAGCATGCTGGTGTTGAAATGTTTAAGGCAGACTGGGTGCTCCCAGCATAACAAGGCCACAGGGTAGACTCTTAGACACCAGGACCACGAGGGAAGCTCAGATAGATGGTTCAGACAGTGATGCAGACAGTGCAATGCTTGAGTCTCTCCCTGACCTAGGAGAAGAGGGAGGGAGGGCCTGCCTGGATTGTCAGGGGGCTTGTCAGTGCAGGACTGGGAACAGAGTGCTTGGTGCTAAGGAACTTGGAAGGAATCTGTATTGGGTAGCAGATCACTGCTGATGAGGGAGAGCATCTCTACCCTGGAGCTCATCCTCCTTCTGCAACAGGCCCAGCTTTCTGAATATGTACAGAACTAGTGTGCTGAGAGCCATTTTTTACCAGCATCAGGCTTTAAGTATCCAGATGGAAATTAGTGATCAAAGTAAAACCTTAAGTTTCCTACTATGTTGAGCAGCCTGACCCAGCCACCCCCAGAACCCCATCCTCAGGATGCCTGGGACTTCTGATCATAGTTAAAACCAGTCTTAGATACCAGCATGTCTCTCAGAAATTCAGAGTGGGGCACAGAGCACAGGCAGGTATTCACCAAGAGAACCCCCTCACAGGCCTGTCTTGCACGCATCCTGGTGACAGAAATGCACCAGGCACATCACATCCTGTGGGTTCCATGTATGGTGAAGGGTAGAAACAGGCTAAGGTCCTCTGGGGGAGGAGAACCCCAGATAGGACCACACTTGGGGTCTGTAATGATGAGGAGCAGCGCAGGGTGGTGCATGGAGGTGGAGCCCATCCTGATACAGGTCTGGGTATTGGTCTCATGGGTATTTTGGATGTGCTCAGTGGGGCAGTCTGGAGTCCTAGGACCCCAGTGCCCATAGCACCCAGCACTCCTGCAGTGACCCAGCAGCACTGGTATCATTGGAGATGGAGTTTTCTTCCTGCAGACTTGAGGTCTGTGGCTGGCTCCCCTTGGGAGTGGAGGGGAGAGCTCACCCATGATGTGCTCTTGACGGTGCACAATAATGTTTAGACGTATCCAAAATCAATCTGGCCTCCAGCCCAGCACTTAGCCCTCAGGATGGAGCCAGCTTTATAAATGTTGGTAATCCAGAGAAAATAAGCCTTTAGGGTCTAGAGAGAGGTAGATGTCTTCCAATTATGCAGATGCAGAGAATCATATTTAACAAAAAATATTCTGCAAAAATATGCTCCTTGAGGGATGAGTAGTAGATGAAGGGCAATGGTAAATCAAGCATTCATGGGAAAGTATGTTCACCTTCAAGAGCCATGATCTTGAGTCTCTGGAGCATGTTCTGCCATTTTTACTGTGGTTAATCACTCTTATTGTTTGCTTGTTTTTCTTATGCTCTGCTCAATCTTATAAAAAAGAGGGGAAATATTAAAAGATGTGAGTCTGCAGAGCCATGTATCTATTAACCCTCTGCGCTTTCTCTTAAGAGCAGCTCCAGATTTTGACATTTGAAGGGGTTCATTCCCTTTTACCTACCCTGTGTGGCAAAATCCAAGGTGTACAGAACATTCAAGAGAGGGCCGAGGTATAGAAAATGGGGTTTGGGATTACTGTGGGGGAGTGAGACATAGAAGACAGGCTGAGATAGCACAAGGACAGTCTGAATTATAAACATACCCCCATACCGCCAGGAGACAAGGATTATAGAGAAGCACCTGGCACCTCATCTGATCTGGGAGACAGAGCTTTGGGCATTGGCCCTGGGACCAGCCTGTTTGAGCTGGTGAGTTTCTGGCACCCCAGTCCCTGTGGTGGAGTGCCTAGCTGGCCTGGGCAGAGTGTATCACGCTCAGGACAGCTGGGAGCCCACAGGTGGGACCCGGGAAGGCCCCTCCTGCCACTGTGTGAGCCTGGCAGGTCCATTCAGCATCATGGTGATGGTTTTAGGCCAGCTGCTTCAGAAGGGAAGAATACCCACAGGAGGTGGCACTAGACACTGGTCACTGACGACAACCTTTCTTGCCTCAGCTCAGATGCACCCACAGGATGCCCCAATCAGGACGAAAACTGAGCAGAGAGAGGGCATGGATATAGTAATTCTCCAGTCACTGTCCACAGATGAAAAAAAAAAGCTAGATAAGAAGGACATGTGCATCTATTGAGCATTGCAAGTATGCAAAGTGCCGGGAAAACAGCGCACACTGCAGTGTGTTGGTGAGAGAAGGAGATAAGACCTCCAGGCAAAGCATCTGTGTGTTAATGGGTTTGTAGTCCTTGCTCAGAAAATTTCAACTGCTTATTATTATTTCTGCCCTTCAAAAGAAAGCATGCAGGCAGGGAAGCAGCCTCGGGGAAAAGTCACTGGGGACTGGGCTGATACCAGAAGATACTACAGAACAAGTGGAATGTGACTTGAACTTGAAGGACAGTCAAGGTTTCAACAAAAGGATGGAAGGGAGTGGAAGGCGCTGGGGAAAGCTGCCCGCAGGGCTGTCCAGTCTGCCTCTTAGGGGAACTTGCCCCAGGTCCTGGCTGGGTGGGGAGCTGGCCAGGTGAGGCAGTGCTGTTGCAGGATGGGTTCATGAGTGACAGGGGAGGCCTGAATAGTGACCCAGCTCATCACCACCAGTCTAGCTTCCCAGGGCAGCCTCCTGTGCCGAAAGCAGGAGAGGCCCGAGGCCAACATGGGAAGGTTTCTGACTGTATGTGATACTCAAACTGACCGCAAGGATCCCAGACAGCTCTCATGGAGGGTGCCAGGCTGGGGCTGAGGTAGTTCCAGGCAGAGCACAGACGTCAGCTCCACGGTGCCCAGAGCTTCCGGAACAACTGAGCCCTCCACACTCCAGGACTCTGGGAGAAATCTCTTCAGAGAAGCCACAGATTGTCTCCTCCCTATCTTGGAAAATCCAAGTGATGTGGGGAGGGAAGGGTCAACATCTGCTGTCTCTGGAGGGTCATGAGGGTTTGGAAACTCATGACAGCCACCTCCCCTTCTCAGCGCCATAGTACAGTGTCCTCCTGCAAGGGACTGAGGCCTTCACTGGGCCTGGGGTGCTAAATGGGCAGGAACTCATAGGCAGGCGAGGCCTTCAGATTCTCTTGAGCCCTAAAATGCAGAGTCCTATAGTGTCTCAGAGTGGCCCTTGCATCTCTGAACCTAATTTACAGCAGTAGCTTAACAGTGAAAAAATATTTTCAGTAGACACACAAAGCGGACTATTTTAAGTTAACCTTATTTAGTCTTCATTAGATATTTAAATACTCAAATAATTTTAATTTAAAATACATGATACCACAAAATCTCACTCATATGTAGAGGGTAAAAATTTGACTTCACAGAAGTAGAAAGGATATCATTGTGATTACTAGTGGAAAAGGGGTGGAGGAAAAGGATAACATTGGATAACAGGTACAAAGTTCCAGTTAAATAGAAGAGTAAGTTCTAGCGGTCTGTAGCACATTCAGATGACTAGAGCTTATGAAGAGCTATAAGAAAGGAATTCAAAACTTCCCAACACAAAGAAATGATAAATGTTTAAATGCTAACTACCATGATTTGAATATTACACATTGTATACATGTATCAAGTTATCACACCGTAACCCCATCAATAGGTACAATTATATATCAGTTTCAAATAAAATAAAGTGAGTGCACTGAAAGTGATTTCTGCCGTGGTTGTCTGAGTCTGGAGCATTATCAGGATCGCAGGAGCCCAGTCAGGATTACCAGTGGCTCAGGTGGACCCACCCTGGCTGCAGGGGAGGAAGAGTTCAAGTTCAGAACCCATTGAAGGCCTGGTGCTGGGACCATTACCTTCCTATCATGCTGGGCTTTCAGATATGCTGTTCTTCGCATGCATTGGTTTAGTTATGCAAAATATCTGGGCCTCTTTCTTTGGTGGTGCTAGGAATAGAACCTAGGGCTTTAAGCATGCTGTACCACTGAGCTACACCCCAGCCCGGCCTCTGCATTTTAAACCATGCTCAAAAGCTGTGTGATTTTTCATTGTGTTCATTCCCTTCTTTTTATTTTAATTTTTTTGGGGGGGTACCGGGGATCAAACTCAGGACCTTGCACTTGTGAGGCAGTCGCCTGAACCACTGAGCTAAATCCCCAGCCCTCATTCCTTTCTTCTAACCTCAGCAGCAGCTGCTTCGGTCTTGCCCGTTTTTGGCCCTTTCTCACTGAGCTCTGAGCTCAGCTATGCACAGGGGAGCAGCACTGCAGGCCGTGGTTAGCTGTAGGCTGTTCTTCCTGCCAGGCACAGGTGAGTCCAGGGGAAGCCATCTAGGAAGTGTGGCCACTTCCCACCACGATGCACCCCAAACAAAGTGGGGGAGGTCACAGAAGTCTAGCAAACATTATTCCTGATTCCATTCGGGGTTTTTGGTTTTTTTCATGAGAAAACCATGTTTTTGTCTGAGTAACAGGGGATAATGATTTACCAGCTTCTGTGCAGTAGTTGAGGACTAACTGGTTAGCACTTCCCGGTGCCTGGAGATTTTCAAATGGAGGCATTATTTGGGTCTGTGTGTCTTGGTTACATTACATGACTCACGTGTTGAATTTCCCTCCCCTGGGAACTCTAGGCCCCAAATAGCTTCCCCTGGTCTCCAACTGCTTAGAAACGTGCCCGTGTTTAAAGTACCCCTTTGCAGCCCTGACCTCACCAGCTGTCCAAATTCTTCAGCGTTTCCCGTGCTGCGATGGAACCCACGGTTGCCCTTTCTTCCATCTTGTTACAGGAGCCGGTTTCCCACACCCTGCTGGAGTCTGGCCTGCGCATTCCTGGAGCCAGAGCCACAGCCACAGTCCTGCTCTGGCCTTGAAATGAACGTTCCCTGGGTGCCCTCTGGTGGATTGTGCACCTAACTGTCGGCATCGATGGCAGCCACGATTCCGCCGATTCCTCCCACCCAGCCTACCTCAGCCAATGAGACTCTGCAGAAACATTACAACTACGTGGGGAAGCTGGAGGGCAGGCTGAAGAACTCCTCTGAGGGCAGCACGCTCACCACTGCCCTCTTCTTGGTATTGTGCAGCTTCATCATCTTGGAGAATCTGATGGTTTTGATCGCTATCTGGAAGAACAACAAATTTCACAACCGCATGTACTTTTTCATCGGCAATCTGGCTCTGTGCGACCTGCTGGCAGGGGTGCTGTACAAGGTCAACATTCTGATGTCCGGTGAGAAGACGTTCAGCCTGTCCCTGACCGTCTGGTTCGTTAGGGAGGGAAGTATGTTTGTGGCTCTGGGGGCGTCCACCTGCAGTTTGCTGGCCATCGCCATCGAGCGCCACCTGACCATGATCAAGATGCGGCCCTATGACGCCAACAAGAAGCACCGGGTCTTCCTCCTGATTGGCATGTGCTGGCTCATTGCCTTCTCACTGGGTGCCTTGCCCATTCTGGGCTGGAACTGCCTGCAGAACCTGACCGACTGCTCCACCATCTTGCCCCTGTACTCCAAGAAGTACATCGCCTTCTGCATCAGCATCTTCATAGCCATCCTGGTGACCATCGTGATCCTGTACGTGCGCATCTACTTCCTGGTGAAGTCGAGCAGTCGCAAGGTGGCCAGCCACAACTCAGAGCGCTCCATGGCCCTGCTGCGGACAGTGGTGATTGTGGTGAGTGTGTTCATCGCCTGCTGGTCCCCCCTCTTCATCCTCTTCCTCATCGACGTGGCCTGCAGGGTGAAGCAGTGCCCTGTCCTCTTCCAGGACCGGTGGTTCATCATGCTGGCCGTCCTCAACTCTGCCATGAACCCTGTCATCTACACTCTGGCCAGCAAGGAGATGCGGCGTGCCTTCTTCCGACTGGTCTGCAACTGCCTGGTCAGGGGCAAGGGGGCCCATGCCTCACCCATGCAGCCTGCTCTAGACCCAAGCAGGAGCAAATCTAGCAGCAGCAACAGCAGCCACTCCCCGAAGATCAAGGAAGACCAGGGCCCCATGGCCACCTCATCTTGCATCATTGACAGAAACAGAACCCTTCAGAACGGGATCCTCTGCAAGTGAGCCCCTCCAGGCGGCCAGCCCTGCAGCCACGCTCTTATTTATTGCTTGCATGTCTCGCTTCCATGTGGGCCTTTACGGAGCTGTGACTCAGGAGATCTACTTGACATTGCCTGACAGCCTGCCTGGTATGAATATCTCCTGAGGAGAGGACCCAAGAAAACATCAACCCATTTCAATGTAGACATTGTGCCTTGTCCGTTTCCAGAGTCCTCCGAATGTACTAAGCTGCTCATCATCTACCACCTTCCTTTGAGTCCTGGATACGACTTTCTGTGGTTCCCAGTGGGGGAAGGTCACAGGCCACACAGTGTATAGTGTGCCTCTCCGTGGGCCTTTGGGTGATGTTTTAATACTTCACAGTACACTGATTATATAGCAATTATATATTCATCAGTTTCTGTGTCACATGGAATTTGTGCTCCATGGATTTGCCATGAGGTGCCTACAGCCTAGCACCCCGTGCAGTTATGTAACTGGTCTGAAGACATGCTGTCCTCAGTCTGCTCAGACTGATAGGAGGCCTTCTGGTAAGCACATTTGTAAAGCCCTATGTTTCTTCTGTCATGTGTCTCTACATAATTTTAAGCACATCCAAGAGCCAGATCATGTGATTATGAAACCCAGCCAAGATCTCCCAGGGGCCTGTGTGTCCCCCCCACCAACCAAAGAGCGAGCCTGCAAGTAGGAGGCAAGGATTCACCTTTCCAAGTCATTGGGAGTTATGATCTGCTTAATGTAATAGTTTCCACTGAAACAAGGGGTTTATAAGACAGCACTTTTGGTTCTTTGTCAAGTTTTGTTCTTACCAGAAAAGCACAGAGTCAGTAACCACTCATACTGTCACCACCCAATGCCTGGGAGCATCAGTAAAGTCTCAAGCATCTTGAAAGCAAACACCGATCGTGACTATTAGTGGCAGTGGTTGAACTGTCAGGTTAGGGATTGTGGCCTGGCAGTTTATGAGCTCTTCCCGGAGATGTGCTGTGATAATGTCCACATGGCATTGTGAGTTTACTTTCCAACATAAGCTGAACCTGTCTCACTCTGTTGATCCTATGAGGAATCACTCCAAAGACGTCTCTGCCCATATTCCTCCCAAGGGTTCCACATGCAGCACATAGGGATGGAAAGTGAATACGAGTGTGGAGTTAGCATGTGCACACCATTGCTGTGCTGAGTTTTGTCACAACAAAAACAGCCTTCAAAAGGGTGAACCTCGAACCAGAGCTCCCTAAAGCTTTTAGGTTCAGTGAGAATTTTGCCTTATTAATACCTAAAAGAGCAGTCTTAAAACATGAATGACCTTTTCTAAGAGAAAGTGATTCCTCAATGTATCTGATGTAAGCTGCTGTTCCATGAGTCCTGGGTATCCTCCAAGTACTGACCAAAGACTTTCCTTATTTTTGTTCCTGATGAGATAGAACCTATTGGTGAGGTTCCTCAGGGACATGTGTTGTTGGATTCTGTACATCATGGAAAAGCTGTGCATTCTCTCAGCTGATAGCATAAGAAAACCTAAAGCATTTCTAGGAAAAAAATGGATGAGAGGCCGCATGCATTTTCACCTAGGAAATGAAGTGATTTTAAAAGTTCACCTGTCCCATGCTGAGTTGCTTTGGGAGCCTTAGCTCTCTTTGTCACTAATACTAATACCACCTTGTTCCCTTACCCTGACTTCCACAGTGCCTTTGTGTGTCAGTTTTCACTCATTAACTTTTCTAGAAGCTACTTGCACTGCTCCTGCTGGGAAATACCATGCTTGTAGCTTGCCAACAAGGCTTCTTGGGAGTTCACACAAAGCTTTTAAGCGATTTGAATTTAAGATGCATGAGGAAAGTGAGTGTGATCACTGATATACACAAAACCAATCCGCCCGACACTGTTCTCACATTCCCAAGTAGCCGGCTGGAGGTCACCTAGGAGCAGAGCTGAAAGAGCTCGCAGCAGGAAGGCTGGAGACAGGTGATCTTGTAAGCCACAGAGAATCTATGTGTTTGATCTCATTGCAGTTGGTAGCCTTTACTCTTTCCAATGTATATTTAAAAAAATAAAACCAATTCCAATATATGTTTGTTTAAAAAATAAAATCAAAACCCTTTATATAAGCCAGTTTTTGAGAGTCTCCGGAGTAGGCTGGGATTGCTTCAGTGTGTTTTCCTGGGACTATCCCTTGGCAAACTTGCTTCTTAGCCAGTATCTGTGTTTCTCAGCATTTTGGGAATAAATCACATTTAAAACCCAAGTCCTTCTTTCACCTTATACTTCCCACTCTCATTGATAGTGTTTTAATGAAGTTTTGCTCATTGGTGCCACATACATCAGTGCTGGTAGATCCTGCTCTTTCTAGGAAGGATAAGAGCTCTTTTGATAGGAAATTGTGAGAAAGTACACCCAAGGAGATGGGGTGTTTGGCCCTGCTTCATCTGCTACTATTTATGCAAGAGGAGGATACATCAGCCCTTTGCATTAGCTTTTTCCCTTGAAAATGATACATTTGATCCTCATATGTCCTGCTAGTGATGCCACTGCCCCACGGGGTAATGGTCGGCAGCCTTCACCCCCATCTCTCCAACCTCGATTGGCTGAGTGGGTGCAAGATCATGACATTAACATGAGACCCTAAGACTGCTTTCCCCACCCACCAGTTTTCATGCTCCTGGGAAATAACTAAGAACATCTATTTCCTAGAGAAAAGTTTCAAATTGCTCTGCTTCTTTTTGTGAGGCATTACGAGACCCGTCATCCAAATGAAAGAGACTTTTCACAATAACCTTTATTGCCAGCAGACTTACATTTATAGCCATCGAAACAATTAACTGTTTTGAAAAATGGTTGTTCCTTTCAACTCTTGAGCCACAGTTATTCTGTGTTGTTACAGAGCCTTTCACAGAAATGTAACAAGGTGTATTTTATAGAAAATGTCTAATCACATTGCCAGTTCCATGCTTGTAAATTGTATCTACAATGCAAAACCTCAACACCCAAATGTTTTTAGTATCTAAGTCAAACATCCAAAGAGGTTGCTACATAGTCAGAAATGCACATACCACTACTCTGATAATAAAGGCACATTGTCCCATAACCAGTTTTCATGAGAAGTTCAGCATTACCTAAATTAGGTGTGTCATCTTGCACTTCTGAATCAGAGTGATGATGCTTGGGGATGCTGTGTGACACCTCCACCTGGAGAACCCTGTAGCACAGGATGCCCTGGATGCTTGGTGAAAGGCTTGTAAGTGAAATCATGTCATTTCCTGAAGGAGGGAAATGGATTCGCTGAAGGTGTCTAGGGAATTTAAGCCCAATGTCTTGATAGGTTGTATTGTCTGATCTCCAAGATGTTGGGAAAATACCTCAGGATTTATCATTCCTCATAGAACAAACATTAGAAAACTTGATGTGAGTTTTGTATTTCCACTCCCAGGGGTGTCCAAAAGCCAATTCCATTCCAGTATCAAAGGAGAAAGGAGTAACTTGGTCGTACACCCAGACACAGACCATTACAATAATTGTTTTCATTTCACAAAAGTTAATGGAAATAAAACAAAATTTTCAAATAATATTCATTTATCAGTAAATATAATTTGCCATCCAAATGCTTTTTAAAAGTAATAAATATCTTATTATCACACACTAAATTTACATGGAGTTATCTCCTAATCAGGGGATTTCAAAACCAGATGTTCAATTTTGAATACAAAGAAATATTCCCATACTTAATTTCACAGTCTTCTGGAACAAGTTCTATTCAAAAGTCAAATGAGCAGAGGACATTCCACTTGCAACTCACACATAATTGTTACCCAAAACCCTCAGTATTAAAAGTTGGATTTGTCCATTCATTTCTGCTTCATTAATTGTTGCTTGATTTCAATGGTTAGAGAGTTTGGCCAGGGGGAAAATGTCTGCTTGGTGTGAATTCATCCCCTCAGCAGCTCAGCGCAGTAGGGTCACTCCCCAGTGCACATTTCCATATCTACAGCAGTTCAAGGTGGGACAATAAAATCTCAGATACTTAAAACTGTATGATTTTTATTTCTTATGCTTTCTTCTGCAAGCATGTTTCTTCCAGCCCTGGGAAGGAAGCCTGTGCATTTTAGGTACTTGGAACTCACCTGTTCTGGGCATCTGAGCTGGCAGGTAGGAGGAAGAAGGGAGGCTGGGAGCCCCTCTGCTCTGCTCAGCATCTTCTACTGCTGGGGGCTCACCTGCATCAGGTAAGTCCTGAGCTTTCTATGCTCTCATCTGCCTCTTCTGACCTACACCAATGCCTGCTGCACAAAGCCCTCCCAGAGGCCCTGGACAGACCTGTGTTTCCAGCCCTCCCTGGTTCTGTTGAACTGGGACACACTAGCACTGTGAGGCTTGTCACATGCCAACTAGTTGTGAGTGTGTGTGTGTGTGTGTGTGTGTGTGTGTGTACTGACCTCCTACTGGATTACAAACTCAGGCAAAAACCTGGTACATTCATTTATTTCTCTAGCCCGTGAACCCAGTGCAGAACATGCTCTGTAGGGACAAATGCACAAACGAGGCCAAGAAGGCTGGTTAGAAAGCCAAGGGGCTGTGCCACCAACACAGCTGCATCCGGGGAACCACACTGGCCAAATCACAGCCTCCTTCGACATGCCCTTGTGGATAGGTAAAATGCAAGTCTGAACTTGTTTTGTCTTCCCTCTCCTTTTTACCTTTCTCCTGTCTTTGCCTTCTCTTTTCCTTGTCTTTCCCTGCTAGTCTCTCTTCCCTCTCATTTCTCTGTCAGGGTCCCTAGTGGATGTCCCCTGTGTGTGCTGTTCCTGTGTCCTGTTCCTGTTGAAGCCCCAGGTCCTACAACCTCCAGTTTCCTGCTCTGTGTAAGCCAGGGCCAGTGCCCATCAATCCCAAACTCTTACCGACTGTTTGACTATCTAGTTATCCTTCTTAGTTACAAGATCCAGGAAAGAGTCATCTGGTGGGCAGCCCAGACGTACAGATCCACTAAAGTTAGTGTGGGTACATGTATGTGTGTATATACATATGCAGTGCACATTCACAATCCTGGTATAAAGTTGCAATTTTTCTGATTGCGATATAAAATGTGCCAGTTTTAAAACTGTGCATTTGTTGCTTGCAAATTTATAAATATGTATAAACCCCATTATAAATAAATTGTGGCTGGCAGATGGCATTTTATTTGCCAGCAACAGTTGCATGGAGTTATAAGTGCTTATTAATCCTCCATTTGTACATTCACAGCATGGAGCCCGGGAGCTATGACATGAAGTGGTATGAATACTTAATCATCAAATAGAGGGGTGAGGCCATCAATAAGAGATAGGTAAGGGCTGAAAACTCTCCTCAGCCAATGCTTCTCAAAGTCAAGACTTGTAGCCAGCAGCACAAGTACCCCCTAGCAATGTATTTGAAAGGCAAATTCTTGGGCCTCACTCCAGACTCACTGGTCAGGAATTCAGAGAAGCAGAGTCCTGCAATCTAAGCGTGAGCTGGCAAGCCAGCCAGTTCTCAGGCCCCCATCTACCCTAGGTCTGTTTATCATGAACTTCTGTCGATGTCCAAGGGTTTCCCAGCTTGCCAAGTGGGCTCAGTGCACACAGGGATGGCCAGGGTATCCCTGAAAAAGCATCCCACCAGGATATCACACCTAGGATAAACTTTCTGTCTCCTCTGCTGGGCTGCCACTGAGGTGCGTCCCGCCCTGTCTCCTGGGCATCTCCATATCATGCAAAACCACTTGACAACGTACCCCTTCTATATCACTTCCTTCCCCCCCATTCCTGGGATCATTACCCACACAAACTACTCACACTCAGACCTTCTTCATGGTCTGCTTCCACAAGAACCCCAACTAAAAGAGAGAATGGAAGCACTGTCTCTCCCAGCTGCATTTTGAAGTGGGGCGTAAAGGTAAAACCAGAGGAAAAACACTACAGACGCTTTCACGGGGGTGAGCTTCCTGTTTAATCCCTGAAGGACCTAAGATCACGTTCTTTCCTAGTGTCAGCCATCCTGGCAAGCCAGCTGGCTCTGGTTTCCTTATCTGAAAAAGGGGATCACATGGTGCAACACTCCATTCCTTGTTATCTTGTATGAAGCTGACAGTTCTGTTTTCAAGATATTCCAGGAATGGGAGTTATCGGTTTTATCTTTCTTAGAAGAAACAGAGTTTCCACAAACCAGAGTGTTATTCTGAATCCCACTGCTAAGACTTTGTCCGGGTGCAGTGATCTAGTTCGCAATCTTTTCACAATCCTCCTACCCACTTTCAATCTAGCTGTCTCCATCTACAAAAGCGGATTTGGATGGCAAGCAGCCTTGGCCAGACAGAAAGAGAAATGACATATGCTTTTGTGAATGAAGAACTCCAGGAAGTTACACTTCCCTTGCGGTGGGAGCTACGTGCAGCCACTGTGTGGCAAGAAGTAAGCCAAAGCTCAGAGAGACCCAGCCACCAGCCTGAGGCTGTCATTCTGAGTGTGCTGGAGCTGAGGCCAGACAGAGGTGTCCTGTGCCACTGGCACTATCTGGGGGTGCCTGTGGTCCAGCTTCTGCTCAGCTCAGCCCAACAGGGAGGGAATGTGGGACTGGCCTTCATGAGGCAAATGGCTCAGAGGAAATGAGGACAGGAGCTAGCCAAGTGCCTGATGAAACAGGAAGAAGTTTCATCTCAGGAGCTGAGGACATCTTTAGTCACCCAGATGGGCAGGGCAGCTGGACACACGTCAGCTGTGACCCTCAGTCCCTGGGCTCTTTTGGGTCTACTTGTCCTGAGTCTGTCCTCCAGCCATGGGGAGCTGTGCATAGCTCAGTTGGTCCTTGGTCATCTACCTCAACATGAGATGGCTTTAAACAGAATGATTGCTCACCAAGCCTAAACAGCACCCAACCCTTTGGTCCTTCCAAAGTAAAAAGGCCCATGGTAATGTAGGTATAGGATTTAAGACTGAGTCTTTGACCTGTAGCTTATCAGACTGCCCACCTGACTCTACAGGGAGCCATTTAGGGGATCCTGGTGGTCAAGCAATCGTGGACCACAGTGAGGACCCCATGGGAGACCCATCTGGGCTCACAGGACAGAGGTGCATTTGAAGCACAGCTCATTCATGCAGGAAGGTGGAGAAGGGGGAGCAGGGTGTCCAGGGCCACTGGGAAAGACTGCCACTGCATTAAGACTGCTAGACCCTCCTTGCATCCTAGCAGGGTGCAGTGGTGGTGCCCAGGAGAGAGGTGGCAGGGGCGAGGCAACTCCATGGGCCCAGGATGGCCCAGTACAGCACACTGCTATTGTACCCAAATGCAACACACAGTGCTGCTCTGCCTGGGGGTGCTAATCAACAGCTTTGCCCCTGCCGGGCAGGGGTGCAGTTTGACAGCCAAGGGCAGCAGGGTCTCAGGCTGGGTAGGGCGGAGGCCCCCTATTGGGCTTATCTCCAAACCCTGACTGGCACACAGCAGGAAGAGCTCAGGAAGTGCCAAGTGAGCAGAAGAGCTCTGCTGCCAGCTGACTGCAGGACCTGCAGTCAGCCTCAGTTTCCCCACTGTGAGCAAGGCTCACAGGAATGCCCCATCACATGGTGCTTGAAGTAAGAGATGAGATAACTCATGTGTGCTTTAGCACACTTTAAAAATAGAAGGGAAACTGGGCATTGTACACGTACCTGTAATCCCAGCACTCTGAGAGGCTGAGGCAGAAGGATCACAAGTCTGAGCTCTGCCCAGGCAACTGAGAGTCTTAGGAAGACCCTGTCACAAAATTAAAAAATAAAAAGATCTGGAGATGTAGCTCAGTGAGAAGGCCCTGGGTTCAATCTAAGTACCAGGAAAAAAAATTGAAGGGAACAAAAACTATAAGATTACTGCCAACCACTACATCTGAAATCTCTGATAGTTAAAAAGGAATACCAGTTTTTTTCACTTGGCATTATTGTAGCATAACCAACCTTAGAATCTGAGATCAAAATTACGTATTTTGAATCAACATTGAAAAGAAAAAATGACTCCAATACCTTTAATTTTCTAAATTGATTCTCATGCAAGGTATATAATACACATATTGCCTATCATCCTGGAAATCAACACTAACTTCAGAGAAGGGAGCTACCATAACTGTGGATCACCACTTCTTAATTCTTCCTACAAGGAAAATAGGCCAGAGCAAACTTTCCACTGTTCAGTGTTGTTAATTTTTGTTTTCTGCTTTCCTGGTGTCCCTGAATATTAGCATTTGGCTTCACACACACAGGGAATGCCAGAATGTTGACAGAAGGCAACTGCGGGCACTTTACATGTAGTATGTGTTTGCACACAAGAGGCTCAGACCTGTGCGTGTATGTGCAAGGTGCAGTCCCCCAGGGCTCAGGAGTGCAGTGTGATTCTCATAGCCAGCCCAGAGACTGTGTGGTCACAGATGGGTGCCTGGACCAGCTGCTACCTGCCTCCCTGCTCAGGCATCCATGCTGTGCCTGAAACCAGCATCATTCAGGAAGCATAGGAGGTCTACACCTCCCACAGAACATTCCAGAAGACTCAACTCCACCATCAGCTTGGATTCATTGGAATCCCAAAGGGCAAAAACTCCAAAAAAGCCTAGGATCTGCCTGACCTATCCTCATTCATTAGCTGTACTGTGTCCTCCCATTTGGCCGCATACTCCCAAAGCAGAAACCGAGTTCCCACACTTGGCATTAGAACCTCGCAGAATCATGACTCACCAGATTTTTTAAAAAGCATCCAACTTATCACTCTGCAATTCTAAGTGTGTGCAGAGTGTCTCCATTCCACTGGCTACAGCCCTGTGCTACAGGACCTCACAGAAACTAGAAGAGATGCCAACCGGTGAATGCACCCTCCAGCTATTGTATAATTGCAGCATCTGTAAAGGTAATCTCAGCCTAAATATTTTTAAAGTCATAGACACTGCCAAGTTCCCAACACCAAATGGCCATCAGGAAATGTCAGTGTTGATGTAGAAATAAGAGCAGTATGGGACACACACCTGTCCATAGGGCCACCAGGAAACTCTGCAGGGACAGTAAGGGGCTCACCATCCCTCACTCTGGGGCAAACCTCTAACTAGTGCCTAAAACTCCAGGGCCTCATCCTGAGCATGCGCACACATGTACACACACATACACACACACACACACACACACACACACACCTGAGCCAGGCCAGGAATGAGTCTGAAGTGTGCTTGGCCCCGCCTTCCCATGGCACTTACACAGGCTTTTTCTCTATTGAATATGAAGGGTGGACTGGAATGGCGACAATTTGACTGGCAGCCACCACAAGCTGCCTGTGATCAGCTCACTGGCTAGACAGATACACACACTGAGGACTTGCCTCGATTGCCTTCCTCGGATGCCCATCTCATTCTCATATGGTTGAGAACTAGGGCAGCATTTGTCATCAGGGTCTTGATTGGCAAGGCTTACTCTGTGCCATATTTGCCCTCAAAAGAATCCTCCGTGACTCCCAAGTGACTGACATCCTGCTGAGCGGCAGGCGCCCATGCTCAGCAGGACCCAGAGGAGCTGCAGTGCCACTTGCCTGTCATGAAGCTGCAGTGGGAGCCCCACATGTGGGGGGCGGGGTGGCACTGGTAGGGGCACTGGGGGTACCACCCATCAGCCCCCGGAGCCAAGTCTCAGAACCAGCTCTTACACGTGCTTCCATCGCTTCTCAGCCTTTTGGCTAAGATCAAGTAGAGTACGCCCAGTGCAGCGGGAAGCACCTGGGCATAGGGCTTCCTGGCTCTGTCTGTCACAATCCTGTTTACCACCCCCGCCCCCCCACCTCTTACTTGTCTCTATTCCCTGCGTGTTGTGCTTATTAGGTAAAGCTGTGGGTTACACCTTCCTAATAAAACGTCCCAGTGGGATAGGTCAGTTGAGTTAAATTTTTGCCTGGACAACTACAGTCAAACTTGTTTCCATTAAATACATACGGCACAGAACATTAGTCTTACATCTTTCTTAGTCTTAAAAAATATAAATATAGAGGGATAATTTGTACAGGATGTATAGGTATGTACACCTTTAATATGCATATGAGGAATCTGGAACAAGTTTATGAAATTTGAACTTGAAGGAAGCCTTCCTCTGGGGGCTTCTGGAGAAGGTGAGGCACCCCCGAGCAGCTCCCCCAGGCCCTGCAGCCCGAGACCAATGGACTCCAGGTCCCCCTGACCTGGTGCCCAGTGTCAGGATGGGCTGCATCAGCTCACTGTCTCCTCTCCGCCGGCTGCTGGAGACAGAGCTCGCTCCCCGCTGAGAAGATGGGCAGGCTGCTCTCCAGGTGGTGGTTGATGAGGTGGCCGATGCTGTCGAAGACTCTGTCTTTCGTCCGGATCTGTGAAGAAAGCAAAGAGCAGGCTGAGCACATACCGCAAGCAGAAGAAAGAGAGGACCTCGTGCTTAGAGTCAGCTGAACCATCGGTGTTGAACAGAGGGCTTCCCAGTGCCTGGTCTCTGACAACAGCCAGTCTATTCAGTCCACTTCGTCTGTCCATGCCTCCAAGACTGAGCCCTAGAATGTGCAGCCCACTGCCCCATGGGACCTTCCTGTCTTATCCCTTTTCTCTCTGACAGCACTGGGCAAGGCCTTGGAGGTGAAGCCTTCTCCAACTTCAGCAACCAGGGGCCACCACACCTGTTCTCTGCCCCCTCTGTGGCTCTCGGGAACGCTCCCAGAACCCTCAGTCTGGCCAGCCCACATCTACCCATGAAGACCACAGGCCCCTTTCACTTCTGGGTTTTGCATAGCTAACCCCTGACCTGAAATTTGCTTCTTCCACCTGGGACCTGGCTCAGTCCCTCCAGGGAGCCCCTTTCCCTCACCTGCCCTGTACAACCCCAGTATTCTGTGGATCTCCCACCAGAGAAGCTGCGAGTCTCCCCAGGAGGGTAAGGAGGACACATGTTCCCAGGGTTGCAGTAGTAGAGCCTAGTGCAGCACATGCCCTGTGAACTGTTCCTGAATAAAAGCACAGGGACCAGGAGGTTTAACACATTACCCTGTTAGCTGGCCTGCATGGCACCCCTGAGACCATCATGGTCTCCAGCCTGAGCAGGCACATTCACTGGTGTAGCCTGCCGCTGAAGAAGGTGCAGAGAGGGACAGCAGTCTCTGAGTCTCCTGGGATGTGCTCCTTTGAAAAGTGGGAGACAAGACTGGAAGTGGACAGCCTGGCTGGACCTGAACCCTTCACAGGTCATGCATGCCCAGCTTAAGAGACCCCTTTCCCCAAGTCCCCATGAGTTACCAGGACTCCCTCCTCCCACAGGGCAGCCAGCTTTTGTGCACTCAGATTTGTACTCCAGCTCTGTTCATAGTTGACAAAACTTAGAGGCAACCAAGATGCTCCTCGGTAGGGTGACAGATAAACCACAGGACACTCATGCAGCGGAATGCAATCGATAGGGCACTGAAAAGAAAGGAGCCACCAAGCCCTGAAAAGACATGGAGGAAACGTAAATACCTATTACAAAGTGAAAGATGCTGATCTGAGAAGACGATGGTCTGATGCTCGATATGATTTTAACTGTCACATTCTGGAAAATGCAGAACTATGGAGACAACAAAATGATCAGTGGCTGCTAGGGCCAGTGGGGCGGGAGGGAAGGATAAATAGGCAAGGGCATGTGTAGGGGAGTGAAAATACTCTCTAAGATGCTCTAACGGGGAGACATGGGTCATTATACAACTCCAAGAATGAATGAGCCCTAATGGAAGCTAGGAACTCTGGGCAATGATGTTTCACTATTAGTTGATCAGCTGTAACAGTTGGGCCACTCTAGTGAGGATGCTGATGGGGAGAAGCTCACACGGAGGAGGACAGGGTTTACACAGAAAATCTGTAACTCATGCACTCAGTGCATGAACCTGAAATTTCTCTGAAAAATCAAATCTAAGCAGGGCTTGCAATCCCAACACTCTGGGAAGTTGAGGCAGGATGATTACAAGTGCCAGCCAAGTCTGAACAATATAACAACTTAGTAAGACCCTGTCTCAAAAGAAAAAAAGGAAAAAAATTAAGAAAGGATTGTGAATGTAACTCAGTGCAAATGCCCTGGGTTTAATCCTCAATAATGAATTTTTAAAATGGTACTGGCAAAAAAACAGGCTTGAGGACCAGTGGAACAGATTAGAAGATGCAGAAACAACGCCAGACACACTCAGCCATCTCATCTTTGATAAAGGAGTCAAACACCCTCACTGGAGGAAAGATAGCCTCTTTAATAAATGGTGCTGGAAAAATTGGGCTTCAACTTGCCAAAGA